CCCGCCATGCCACACCCACTAAGCCATGGCCACAGAACCAGTAGTAAAAAAATTTAAATCCCACTACTGATCCAAACTTAACATTGAGTAAGTTCTTATTTATTCAAGATTTCCAAACAAGCAAACCAAATTAACAGGAAAGAAGCACTAAAAGTAGCACATCAGTTTAAGGACAGGTGTTTAATATTTGGGTATGTATGTTCTAAAGCAGCTCACTTGCAAAGATCTAGCCCTAAAGGAGAGAACAGTTATTTCTAATTCTGTTATACTCACACAGGAAAACTAAGTAATGCAGGAACATGGCATGAAAGATGAAACACCTTTGGGCAGTAATCACAACACAAAAGTTCTCCTCCATTTAGGCAAACAGCACAAAAATCTTCATTCTCAATAGTGTGATCTTCATGAGGAAGCCCAGATTTCTTCATATTATTACTTAGCCTGTGATCTCCTGAAGGAAGTAACACCTGTTCAGTCAGCTGGCTTGTGAGGATCCTGCTTTTCTCCAGGTTTTCTTCAAGCTTAGGATTTAGACTTTCAGATGAATGTCCTTGATTGACCTGAGATGAAAAGGGAAAACATTTTCACAAAAAGTGCTTGATATACTACAGAAGCTTACATATAGTACATTTTCTGTAGAGAATGTAATATATTAGTTTCTTCTGAAGACTGGATATTGGGCAGGTTTCCTGAGGTTTCAATTTACATAATCTGGAGTTAACACTTATTATATAATTCATTAATTTTCATTAGTTTTAAATGGCCTAAACAACATAGTCATCGGCTAATTATAAAGCTAAAATGTTAGCATCTGAATGGAAGTATACCTTATAAGTTAGACATATAAACCAGTGGTGGGGTTCAAAATTTTTACTATCGGTTCTGTGGGTGTGGCTTGGTGGGCGTGGCAGTGGAAGGATATTGCAAAATCTCCATTCCCTCCCTACTCCAGGGGAAGGTTACTGCAAAATTCCCATTTCTTCCCAATCAGCTGGAACTTGGGAGGC